TCTTTTTAAAACAAGAGTTCACTGAGAATCAGCAATAATAGAATATGCTGTATAAACTATTCTCTACAAAGGTTGATCAGCATTATTTACAATTGGTACATTGATACAAAAGAAGGCATACAAGTTATCCATGTCGCTTTTTTTTCTTTTCTTTTCTTTTTCTTTTTTTTTTTTTTATGGCTGACAGGTCTATGCATTTTGTTTATGCTTAACAACCAGAGCTTTCGAGCCTCTATGGCTGGCGACAAGTCAGGAGATATTCAGGCAAAGAGGGGTGTGTGCAGTCAAGGGGCTGGGAGAGAAGACTGAGTGGGTGTGCAGAACAGAAGGACCCAGAGGACATCACCCTAAAAAATGCTTTATAGGCTGCTCCAGTTTAACTCCATTAAGACAAACCCAAAGAGAACCTTTTATTTGCATTCCATTTTTCAAGCTGCAAGTTTTTAATACACCATTAGAAAGTAAACCTGTGGATGATTGCAAAGGAAGAAATACCGTGGGCTTTCCCTTTTTGCCCAGTTTTCCAGAAATGTCCTCATCTTGGTCACAGCCAGTCTTTTGACAAAGTAAGCAGCATTCGATGAAGGTGGGGGTGGGGAGGGCTCTTTATTCCAGCTTCCAATTCAAGATGTAGAGAGCTACAACATCTAAACCTATTGAATTGCTCCATTAGTCCTTGAGACATTATTTCTCAGAAGCAGCCACTTAATCTCTCAACCTTTGTTTTCCCTCTTTGACTATAAGAGTTTATAAATCAGAGGGTTATTTTGTTGCGGAGATTTTGTTTTGTTTTGACTCCTGCAAGTTTTACAACTCAAAATAAATTATAAAAAACAACAGACTTCTGAAACCGAACAAGACAAAATTGTGCAAAAATAACAAAGATATGTACATACTTTTCAGTCTGAAGAAATGTACAATAAAAACATAAAGAACATTTTAAAAATATAAACATTGCTTAAACTTTCCTAAGTTTCATATTGTTTCTGAAACTATTCTGGTCAGTTAGCTCTGTAATATAGTAAAACATAAATTATTACAAAATTAACACTATAAAAATTTACTTTAAGAATATCTTCTCAACTTTTTTTCAAAGGGTCTAACCTTGTTTATAATTTCTTAAACATTTATAAGTCTTAAAATCTGCCTTAACCTTTTTTTGTTTAAAAAGAAAAAGTAACAATCGTCCCTTCAATTTGCAGTCTCTTTTCCCCAAGATGTAAATAAACCAGCATATAAGTGCACTTTTAACACTGTAGAAACAAAAATGAAATCATCTGAACTTAATATCCTAGTACTTAATATCAACTCCTGATTTTTAAAAAAAATCATGTTACATTAAAAAATTTAGTAATCCTATAAGAAACACTGTCAGTGCAATTCCATTTGATGCAAATCACTCCATTTACCTCCCGTCTTTGCAATTCCAATTGTGTGGTGAAGCTTAACAGTAGTCTGATCTTTGGGTTGGGGGAACGGGAAAGAAAAGGAAAACTTCCGGGTGGGAATGAGGGTTCTGCCCAGCTGTGAAATTAGCATTCATTGCTGATTTAAGGATGAAGCAAAACCTCCCAGTATGTCTGCCATATATTGTATGCAAACTTACATGATTAATAGCACAGAACACCTATTTTATGTTGTGAATTCCTTTCCTGATTATGATTCCCTACTAGAGCTTATGGTATTGCTGTTTCTTTCAAAATTCCAGCGTGAATAGTTCTATAGCTGCTGGGCCCCAGCGTGGCTCTTCCAAATGGCTTTCTTCACAGAGCAGTGGCTGTCCTTACCATCCCTTCTTGGGGATGGCTGTCTCTAAAACAGCACAAGCTGACCCAAGGGTGTCTCACCAGGTCCCCATGGCCCAGGGCATGGGGATGGGTAATCATCTTATTTATTCTCACAAAAGGTCTGACACACGCCCTTGTGCAGAAGCTCTCCCTGGAGGTCTCTTCCTAGCCCGGGAAGGCAGTCTGAGAACCTTTAGCAGCTGTGGTCACTGGGCCTCCTCGTGGAGTGGCTTTCTGGGCTCTCACGACCTTTTTCCTGGGATTTCTCCCTCCTGGGTCACCTTGCTTTGGGCACTGGCACACTGCTCCCTGGAAGGGATTCTACAGATTCCTGACCTGCTCAGACCACCACAGTCCCCAGAATGTTTTTTTTAGGGATCATCCCCTACCCACCATGCTCTGCTTGCTGCCACCTTTTCAGACCTGTTCTGGCCCCTGTCCCTGACTGGTTTATCCTTTCTGAGCTGCACAGCTGGACAGTAGTATTAGGTAAGCCACATCATTAAATGGCCACTGTTCTCAATCTTGCCTATAGCATTTGGCTCCAGCCATGGTGAGCTATGGAAGCCGGATGAGGGAACCCCACCCACCCTCCAGCTCTCCACTCTCAGCTCCTCCCTAGCAAAGCCCCCTCTCCCTGTATGCAGTCCTGAGGAGATCTTGTGAGACCCAAAGGCCAGTAAGGACCCACAGAATGGCAGATGGGGGGATGGAAGGGATCGGGAGGAGAGGATGGGAAGAAAAAGGGCTCTGCCTGTGCTAAAGTTCAAGAGCTTCAGAGCATGCCAACCTGGAACCAACATTCCATCATGTCTGCTCTCATGGCTGGAGCAAAAGGATGGTACAGTAGCAGCATCAGGAGCTAGGGGAGTGACCCCAAATTTGGAAGAATGTAAAAACATGGCGAATGAAAGGAAAGACGACAGAAACAAAACACTGGAACTGTTTTCTGTAAATCTCAAATTCACGTTCTTTTGCCTTTTTCTTTTTCTTCAAAACTAAAAATTGGTCAGTTAAAAAAGAAGAAAGGTCAGAGGCACAGGGAGTGCACAGAAAACAGACTCTCCCCCAAGTCCACTCCCTCCCTCCTCATAGCCTCCTGCAGTGGGATTAGGTGGCCTGGAATTGGTGTGGAAGTAAGTGGCTTCATAGTCTTGTTACGGAAGAGTCCTTATCCTGCCCGTTCTGTTTGTGTTCTTCTAGGAAAGAAAAGAAACATTGTTTCAAAACCATACAGTTGAGATTACCCATGAGAACTCAAGGATGGAGCCTCAGTTTTTTCATCTATAATAGAGAGGATCATATCCCACCTCCCGTATCTGGCAAAGGGCAGCTGGAATAGCAAATGAGGTGTTGGATCTAAAGGATCCAAGAGCAAATGAGATGATGGATCCCTGCGTGTAAGGCATTCACAGAGGTCCTCACTGTGGAGGAAAACACAAGGACAGTTGCCGTGGACATTCATGGGAGTCCTCTTTAGGAGAGTGGACAGAATAACTGATGCCTTTGTTTTTGTTCTCCATTAGTTCACCTCTTCCTGCATAACCTACAAATGACACAGTTAATTATCTAAGGAGTCTAGTGTTGGGTTAAACACAGCGGCTTTGGAGAGAGATTTTGCGTTCAAGTTACTTAGCTTCTCAGTGTAGCCACCTGCATCTGTAATCATCCTGTCCCTCACAGGGTTGTGAAAAGGTGTAAATGTGTGTAGTGTGTGTGAAGGACATACCACATAGCCCTCTCTCTGCAGGCTATGTGCTACACTGAACAAGTGGTGGCCATTATGATATTTGTCAGGGCTGACTGCCAGCATGTTGGGTTCCCAGCAGGTGTACCCGGACCTATGAGCACATGCAGGTCTGTATGTACACACTGCAACCTCTACAAGATGCCCCATCAACAGAGGCTGATGGCCTGAGCGGAAATGTGCCTTCCCACCCCAGCACACATGATGGGCTGCAGGTGTTCTGGCACAGAAAGGGCTCAGAATGGTGAGAAGATACTAAACTATATCCTGACCGGGGGAAACAAAAACTATTTCCTCATCATCTTCACCCAAACTCTACCCAGGATTTGTGGGAAAATCCCAAAGGGCAAAACCCAGACAAACACATTGCTAATTTGCTATTTGGTGTCTATAAACACGCGGCACACCTAAGGCAACATAACAACACAGCTATACACACACGCACGCGCATACATACAGCATTTTCCAGTCATGTGTAAGAGGCAAACCCCACCTCCCAATCCTTCTTGGTCCTCCCCAGGACACATATACACACACTCCACTGAGAGCAGCGTTTGTCTCAGGTGTACACATCCACTACCCTTATACCTTGTTTATAAAAACTACTAAGCTTACCCTGAGTACTGCTGCCATGAAACTGCTTCCGGAATGGTGGCTGCAGCTCACCAGAGGCTTTGAGAGAATGCTGCTGATGGACGGACACTAGGGGAAAGGCCCCCCTCCTCTTTTTTTTTTTTTTTTTTTTTTTTGTTGGAGGTAGGATCTCGCTTTGTTGCCCGGGCTGGAGGGCAGGGTGTGAGCACAACTCACTGCAGCCTCAGCCTCCCAGACTTAGGCAGTTCTCCTGCCTCAGCCTCCTGAATAGCTGGGACTACAGGCATGTGCAACTACGCTTGGCTATTTAAAATTTTTGTGGAGACAGGGTCTTGCCATGTTGCTTAGACTAGTCTCAGACCACTGGGCTCAAACCATCCTCCCACCTTGCCCTCCTAAAGTGCTGGGATTATAGGTATGAGGCACCACGCATGGCTGGTAAGTCCCTTTAATTTTCTAATATACTTAGGAGGGAGGCATCAATTTTGCCTTTTGATGAATGACAAAACTGAGACTCAGAGAAGTAATGTGCCTAAGCTCATACAGCTGGTAATAATTATAGCTAACACTTGCGGGTTTACTGTGTGCCAGGCATTTCCTAGAGGCTTTACATGAATAGGCTGATCCTCACAAAAGCCATAGAAGGTAGGGGCCAGTATGATTCCCACTTTATAGATGGAGGAAATGGAAGCACAGAGAATTTAAGTAAATTGCCCAAGGGCACACAGCTAATAACTAGAAGGCCTAGGTTTGGAAGCTAGGTAGCCATGCTCTTAACTGGAGATGAGGTTTGAATCAGGGTCTGACCCCAATGCCCAAGCTCTCTCTGCTCTGCTGATGACCACATGGATTTTTGTACCCCAGTAACTTACCTGTCGGCTGTGTCCTGGGCTGGATATACTTGAAGGACTGGATTGTGGCAAAGCTAGGCTGCTATTTTTCCCAACCTGAAAGACACCAGTGAAGCCCCCACTCAGACACGCGAGCCAGCCTGGGGAGGGTCCCCCAATGCCACATGTCGCCAGGGGAAAGAAGGGCTGCACAATGCGTGCTTCATTCCCTCACACTGGCTCAGAACTGGTGTTTCCATCATAAGAGGCAGAGAAAATGAAAATGTTGCAGAGGGTGCCTTGAGATGCCCTCTCCTTCCCAGAAGAAAAGTGGAACGGTGGGGAACTCTTCATACTGCTCCCTAGCTGGCCAGATCGCAAGGGGGAGGGATGAGGACGAAGGCATCTGGGGAGAAGCCTGGCCCCTCCTGGGAGCACTTCACTCGGCAGAGGCTGGGCTTTTCTACCTGTGGCCAAAGGGTCACACAGCTCATCCACCTCTGACCCTCAGTTCCAAACCCGTCTTGTTTCCAACCCAGACTCCCTCAGCCCGACTGCAGATAAAACACCTGGATCTTTTGCTGGGTCAGTTTTTCTGGATAGGAGATGTAACGCACACTCCACTGTTCTTTAGAAAAATAGCACGATGGCGCTGGGCTTCTCCTTCACATGGAGGGAATGGCAGGGACGCTGTGCCTGTAGGTGTGGCCACTGTGCTCTTCCCTTTCCTCTGACTGTCCTGCACACAGGGAGCCCGGTCCTTGGGGAAGCTGATGCCAGGCACTAACCTGTTCCTGACTGGTCTGCAAAGGCAGCTTGTACTTTCATCCTGTAAACTGCTCCTCTTGTCTATTAACTTGCCTTTATGTAAAGACGTTTGCCTTACATTACTATTATTTTTTTGAGACAGAGTCTCGCTCTGTTGCCCAGGCTGGAGTGCAGTGGCGCAATCTCGGCTCACTGCAACCTCTGCCTCTGGGGTTCAAGTGATTCTCATGCCTCAGCCTCCTGAGTAGCTGGGATTACAGGCGTGCACCACCCCGCACGGCTAATTTTTGTATTTTAGGTAGAGACGAAGTTTCACCATGTTGGCCAGGTTGCTCTCCAACTCCTGACCTCAGGTAATCCACCCACCTTGGCCTCCTAAAGTGCTGGGATTACAGGCATGAGCCACCGCACCTGGCTACATTCAGAATCTTGATTTTTGTTCAGTTTAACAGCCCTGTGGCAACTTCTGGCCTTATACCAACCAGATGCAATTAAATGGATCCTCAACTTGTTCCCAAAGCACGGGTTTACTTTGGATTTCTCAATCTCATGAGTTACCCACCCCCACCCCTGATCTCCTAGCAGAATTAACACAGATCCCAAGGGCCTTTGACTTTCCCCCCTAACACTTGGAAGTCACTGGTGATAAAGCCTTTTCTTTTTTTTTTTTTTTTTGAGATGGAGTCTTGCTCTGTCACCCAGGCTGGAGTGCAGTAGCACAATCTTGGGTCACTGCAACCTCTGCCTCCTGAGTTCAAGCGATTCTCCTACCTCAGCCTCCTGAGTAGCTGGGACTGCAGGTGTGTACCACCACGCCCAGCTAATTTTTGTAATTTTAGTACAGACAGGGTCTCACCATATTGGCCAGGCTGGTCTTGAACTCCTAACCTTGTGATTTGCCCACCTCAGCCTCCCAAAGTGCTGGGATTATAGGCGTGAGCCACAATGTCTGGCCGATAAAGCCTTTTCTTAATGCCCTGGTGACAAGCACGGAGGTTTCACCTGCATTAGAGAACCAATGCTGACCAGACCCAAGGCAGCTGTTAAATGCATCAGATTTTAAAAAATTCCCTGCTGCCGAGCACCTGGCAGCTCCTTTCACCACGGCTTCTGGCTGCCTCAGCGTTTACTAAGCATTTCCTATAGTCCTTCAGACCAAAGAATCACCAGAGCCACATCTACTCAACACAGAGCTCTCTGTGAATGGCATGGAGCCCAAGAGCCCGGACTCCAGAGCCAAAACGCCTGGGTTTCAGTCCCAGCCCTGCTACTGCCTTGGCGTGTGGCTTGGGTGCCTTGCTTAACCTTCCTGTACCTTGGCTTGGTTCACTCATCTGTGAAAGAGGAGTAACAGCAAGTAATCACATACACCTGAAGTACTTGGAACAGAGCCCATCACCTTCATGCTAGCTGCTAGGACTGTATCTAAGATGAGTGAGACACCACGGTCTTGCTGTTCAAGCTGTGGCTTGGGAGGCTGCTAGAAATGCAGACTCCTAAGCCCCTGCCCGGGCCTGCTGACTGAGAATATGCATGTTCACAAGCCCCACTGGGGGAGTTGGTACATATTTAAGCTTGAGACATACCCTGGCTCTGCCCTCCGTCCTGGGCCCTGGCGGTGGCTAAGCCTCCAGGGTGAGGAGCAGCAAGTTACCCTCCAGGGAGTTTAGCCTCCAGGGAGAGCCCTGTGGGTGCCGGGCCCCCTCCCCCACACCCCTGGCCATGGGGAGTCAGAACAGTGCCCTCTGCTCCAGCGAGGGAACCTGTGTCTCCCCCTCCTCTCACCTTGGCCTTGGTTTGCAGCTTGTCTGGCCCTTGGGTTCCAAACTTGCTGTTTCTCATGTGTTTGTGATTTGTGAATCCCCCTCAGGCTGTGCTCTTCATGAGGTTATAACAAGTCTCATAAGCGGTGACATAAAACATTAAAACATCTTTTAACAACTGCCTCCCATTGCTCCAAAGTCCTCAACCCTAGATGGGGCTGGGCTTGGGGTCTGGTTCCCTTGATTCTGTATAATGGTCTCTGGACACACTGCCCTGATGGGTCTAGGCTCTGGGGCAGGTTGGCCGGTCCTCTCGCCAGACCCAGCTCTGCAGAGAATCCCAGGCCGGCCCCTCCCGACGTCCTCTCCCTCATCTCTGCCCGACCGGCCCCAGAGGCTGGGCTGGGGTAGTGGTGGTGGTGCTGGGCTTTCCTAAGTAGCCTCCCCAGCCGGAGCAGAAGGACTAGACTCAGGGATGAGAGTAAAGCTCAGGGGAGAGGAACGTGTCCTCAGACCGCGCCACACTCTCTCAGCTTCCTCACCCTACACACTCCTATTTGTACTGTGGCATTGAACACTTCTCTGCCAGCTGGTGGGAGTTGCAGTTTTCCTTTAGGAAGGAATGAGTTCTATGAGGAGGACGTGGGGGTCGAGGCAGCCTAGAAAAGTGGGAAGGACAGTCACCTGGGAGCTGGGCACAGGCGCTTCCACTCCCAGGTGGGACCCCGGGTCATCTAACCTGCCTGGGCCTCAAGCTCTTCCTAAGGGGTTCCAACAGATCAGATCAAGCTTCTTAGCAACAGAACTCTTTAATGACAACGTCCTCAGAACCTTAAAACATAAAACTGACCAATGTGGAGCGGGGAACTCAGAATCTCTCTATGCCCCGGTTTCCTCATCTGTACAGTGCTAACTGCACCCACTGCACTGGAGTGTCATGAGGGCTCGGTGAGGTAATATCTGTAAAGTACTGAGAACAGCGCCTAGCACATAGTGAGCATGGTATCAAGTACTTGTTCAATCAAGTGCTCTCAAAGCAGAGGGTGAAAACTGCCCTTAGGGAGAACGAGGGAAGGAGTCAAGCTTGTGTTACCTGTCGGAGCCGCCCGGCCAAGCAGGGGCGCTGCCCAGCTCCCCCTGCCCCCCAGAGCCGGTGAAGGCGGTGCCAGGAGGTCCCTTACCTGCCGAGAGGAGGTGCTGTTAACGGGATCGGGCACCGGTGCGAGAAGGCTGGGCGGGTTCTTTTTGTGAACGCTATTCATACCAGGCATTTTAGTGATTTTACAGGCTTTGCTACTAGAACTTGAGTTCTTACGCTTTTTTCCTTCTGATTTGTCAAAAGAGAGGGGCAGAGAAGACACAGCATTGTGTGAGGCCAGAGAGAGGTCCCCCGCGTGGAGCGCAAGGGAGGGCACAGAGAGGGGACAGGAGTCACTGCTGCCTCCCACCGCGCCCACCTGTCTCACTATGTCCGCGGGGCCGCTGGGCAGCGAGGTCCGTCCTGAGGGCTCCAGTTTGGCACTGAGTGGGCTCACCCCATTGTTTGAGTTGTGCACAGACAGACTGTTATAGGGAGAGGCTGCCTGATAGGAGTTCAAAGCAGAACTGGCATTCAAAACACAGTTCTTTTTGTGAGGCCCTGACAGTGGAGACGAGAGGGATGTCTGCAAGGATGAGGAGGAGGAGGAGGAGGAGGAGGAGGAAGGCGAAGACTGCGGCTTCCTCTTTTTGTTACTTGGAGACTCGTCGCTACGGGTGGACAGGTCTTTGACTTTTGAGGATTTGCTGGTTTTGGTTTTGGATGGCTTGTGGGATGGGGAAGGGATGACAGCTGGTATCGGGGACACGGCGGATGGGGCCTTGAAGGTTGAGTCCATGATGCTGAGGGTTGCGGCCACATGAGGGAAAGCTGTGGTGTGGGACATGAGGGCGCTCGGGTCCGGCGATGTCACGAAAGCTGCGTTTGAGAGCATGGCTGATGTCATTATGTAAGAAGAGGTGAGCCTCGAGCTGATGGGAGCTGAAGGAAGATACACAGCACTGGGGTTGCTGAAAGGCTGCAAAACGGATGCTGGAACGGGGGTGGTGATGTGGGCTGCCGGCGAGGGCAGGGGGCTATCTGCCGCAGGAGGGATCTTCCTAAACACGAGAGAAGAGTGAAAGACAGTCAGTGAGACATGGGGTCGGCATTGCTCGGGAGGCTTGATGACGCTTGAGCATCAGGGCTACACAGGACACCCCGGCAGAACCAGACTATGGAGAATGAAGCCTTGAAAGATGGGAGACTCTGAAGCATGGCCCCTCCTTATGGCACCCCCCATTGCAACATCCAGCAACCTAATTTGCATCACGCTTAGTAGCCTTTCAGATCCTTTTCCCCAGGCTTGGCTACTGGAGAAGGCCTGATTTTGGTTCATAAATAAGAGGTCAATGTTATTTAGAATAGAAATTTCCCCAGTATTCTCCTCTCTCAACCCACCCCCCTCTTTTTTTCTTGGCAGCGATGAAGGTGGTTTTTAATGAGAAGTGATCATCTCACATGTAGGTCCTGGTGGCAGGTAAGAAATGTGAGGATAGGGCTTTGCTACCTGGACACAGGGGCCAGAGCTTCCCCGCTCCACCCACTCCAGCTTCTGTCCAGGGACTCTCAGGGCTTCCCCACCCTGCTCTGGGCTGGAGGCAGTTGGAGAACGGTCCTCTCCAGGGCCAGCATCCTCCTGCCTTTGCCATCTGCAGCCTCTGGTTCCCTCAGCAGAGAGCCATTTCCATACTGACTTGTGGCTGCTGGCTCCTGGTGGCTGGGTGTGAAGGGTTAGGGGTTTGGGAATGGTGAGATGACAAGTTGCCCATTCCCAAACTAGCTTTGTTTTTTCCTATTCAGCCCACCCTACCTTAGCTCTCGCTCACAGGAGCTGTCAGGGGTGCGGCTGCTGACCTTTAGCAGGTCTTCCTGTCCTGTGTTCGGAAAAGGTGAGTGTGGGACCCTCATGTGTCCAAAGAAGGGGATCAGGGATTTCTAGTTTGTTCCAAAGATAAATGTAGGATGTCAGTAGGAGGAGAAAGACAGGAGGGGAGGGGAAACCCACTGTTTCCTTCTCTGGTCTGCTTGGAGCTTGGGTGGGTGCCTCAGAGCAAACTCTCAGGAGCCAAGGCCAGCACTAGGCTGTGGCTTACTCTTGGGGCCTCCCTGCTAACTCCCTTGCGCTGGGAGTGACTTCTCCTTCCATTCCACAGCCTGGGGCGCTGCTGCTGCTGCTGCTCTGGAGACCGGGAGGAGGCATGGGGGCGGCCACAGGGACGAGAATTTGCAGGAAAGCACAAGGCCCTTGGGAGCCAGGTAAATGTGCTCAAGCTGGCCCTTCCCTGCTTCTCACCTTGCTCCTTCTCCCGGTCTCCCTGGGAAATCATTTTCACCGTAGCTGGGGCTCACTAGCAATTAGGAACTAGCTTTCCTTCTTTGAAAGCAGCACATGAAGGTGAGCAGGCCCAGAGCCTGTGACCCAGTGGGCTAGAACACATGCCACACAGGTCCTCACACCACCCTTTCTCTTCTTTGGAGGCCACTCTCCCAGCTGCAGCATCAGGACCAGGTGCCAGGGAACTCTGGAAAGAGGAACTGCTGAGAGATAGATGTTTCTCCTAGCATTCCTCTCTCTGAAGATTCTGCTTTTGGTCTGCAGTTTGGTGGAGCCTGTGGCATCTATCTTTAGGGTGGAATCCAGAGGAATCCTTGACCTTGAAAATGTCAGACCAAAGGGATCAAATATAAGAGAAAAATGTTGCCAAACTCACAGTGGCCACGATGGTGTTGAGAATTTACTTTCTCTCAAGCCTAAAGAAGGTAAGAGATCTGTTGGCACTCAGCAAGGTGCCCCACAAATACTTGTTGCAATGAATGAGTGAATGAATGGATGGATGAATGGGCAGGTGGATGGGTGAGCAGGTGGATTCTCAGCAGCACCATACCCGATTGTTAGGGACTCTGCATGCTGGGCAAGGACTCCCATATAATCAGACTGGGAATGTCTACACACGTCCTTAGAACTGTATGGCACTGCACAACCCCTTCCTAACAGGGACGGGGAACGTTTCTTAGAGGGGGAGGTGCCTCCCAACTTTCCTGCTGCTTCTGTTGCCTTCTGTGGTACTATAAGCAACCCACTCCATCTTTCCTTGACTTCAAGTTTGCTTACCCACTAAAGTATACATAGAAATACATGTGGGCAGAGGTTTGGCAGTTACTCGTAATAAAAAGTTATTTACAAATACCAGATGACTCATTTAGAGAGGATCCCAATCAATGACTCTGAATGGGATCCATTTTTAATGTCTCAATTTATAATTTTCCAATTAAATAGTATAAATTTACGCTTCAACTCATGCTGACTAGCAGAGCTGAGTCCTAAATCTCACCTGGCTGGCACTCGGGACTGGGATGGCAGCTCTTTTGGGGCACACTTTCTATCCTTTTCTTGCCTCACTAATCACATGTGGATAGCAGGGGTGGGAGGGGAGACAGGGTGGGGGAAACAGGGTGAGGGGCATGTGGCAGCTCCCTATCCTCAGGAGTCCCTCCCCCTCCAAGGCTAAACAGTTTATGTGTTTTTCTAGGTGCCAAACGGCAGGGGATTTCAGCTTTGCTGGGCTGTGCTCTGGTTTAAGCGTTGCACACTGGCCCAGGGAAGTCCCACACTAAAGCCCACAGATGCGAATAAATTACTGACAGTGCCCATCCTCCCCTGCCAGGTGGCGTGGAGGTCCAGATGCTGACCTGGCTGAAAGAGAATACTGTGTTGGCGGCTCCTGATGCAGAGTTAAATGCTTGTTAAAGAAAAAAGAGTCTTGGCCGTTCCTTTTCTTCCTAATGTCTTCCACGCCCCCATCGGCTGCCATCCCTGCAGGTTCGGGCCCGCCTGGGCCTGGGGTTTGGGCAGCGAGGTTGAGAGGGTAGCGGGGTGCTACGCTCTCCAGAGTTGACACCCAGGCAGCCCCAATGTTGCTCAGTGACAGCAGATTGGTTAGGCAAGTCCTGAACAGGGGGGAGGGACCTGATGCCCTGTGGCTCGGGCTTCTGTGCCTGAGGAGGAAAGGAATATGGAGCTTGAGCTGACAGGACAGCAGGGAGTGAAATACAGATCAACACATTCCTTCCACGTGTCCGGGATTGATACTTCCATAACACAGAGAGCAAAGAGCTTCGAGGATCACCAGGGCTGGCTGCCGTCTTGGGGAATAAGCGCAGAGGCTCAATCACCAAGTAACTGAGAACATGGTCACCTCACGTGCAGCACCAATTTGTTGTTTGGAATGGACACATGTAAATATCAAGGGTGCCCTTTAGACACACTGGGCCGTCACTTAAATGGGAAGAAATGATAAGCTTCTCTTGTGGCCCTTACCTACCTTATAGTAAATATTAATATTTAGTCCTAAGTCTGGCATGAGAGCTCAATGCAGATACAAATGGGGATCGCTTCTCCTATAAGTTCAGGTCTGGAAGCTCTTTAGGCTTCCAGAAAGGGGCCTGAGGTGTCGTAGCTGCCTGGGGGAGAGGAGGAAACCTGGGAGAGGGGTAAATTTTGACTTCTGTTCCCTCCCGTTTCTTATGAATGCCTTCCTTGCCTCTACTGGGCCTCAGGGGGCAGGTGGGGGGCCTCAGCTGTTGTCCTTCCTGGACTATCTAGGCCCCGATTTACATGATCCATGACTCCAATGGACGATGATATATTGAGAGCTCATCATTGTAGGAGTGGGGCATGGATATACCCAGTGGGCTGCCCTTACGTTATCAAGTGGCCAAAATGCTAGCCACTTACGTGCTATGGTTTGAGAGGGTCTAGGCCTATTATTTCTTCCCAATAGCATTCTTTCAGATTAAGGCTTCTTCCCTGTTTATGAATCCCTTATTAAGATGTAAGTACACTGGGAGGTGGATAATAAGGGAACTTAGGAGAAAGGGAACATAAGTTAGAGTTCAGGGTAGAGAAGTACAAGTGAGGTGGGGGGGTCCTAGGGAGACAGGAAGGGCCAGATACAAACTTAACCAACTTCATAGCATTGCTCAGGATCTGCCCTGTTGGCAGGTGTACAGATGCTTTCACAGGACAGCAAACAATTAGAAAGTGGTCTACACCATTATGAAATCTTTAGTTTCTTTTTTTTTTAAACGGAGTCTCGCTCTGTCACCCAGGGTGGAGTGCTCAAACTCCTCCTCCTGGGTTCAAGAGATTCTCCTGCCTCAGTCTCCTGAGTAGCTGGGATTACAGGTGTGCACCACCAGCTAAATTTTGTATTTTTAGTAGAGACGGTGTTTGACAATGTTGGCCAGGCTGGTCTTGAGCTCCTGACCTCAGGTGATCCGCCTGCCTCAGTCTCCCAGAGTGCTGGGATTACAGGCGTGAGCCACCGAGCCTGGCTGAAATCTTTAGTTTTGATATTGTAGCATTAACATTACAAGTAGAAGCATGTTCTTTTTTTTAAAAATAAAAAAAATTTTTTTTTTTTCTTTTAAACGGGGTTTCACCATGTTGGTCAGGCTGGTCTTGAACCCCTGACCTCTGGTGATCCACCCATCTTGGCCTCCAAAGTGCTTGGATTATAGGTGTGAGCCACCACGCCCGGCCTTTTTTTTCTTTTTTTTAACAGAGAGGGTCTTGCTCTGTTGCCCAGGCTGAGTGCAGTGGTACAACCATAGCTGTGACCTTGAACTCTTGGGCTGAAGGGATCCTCCCACCCCAGGCCTTCCAAGTAGCTAGGATCATAAGTGTTTGTCACCACACCCAGCTAATTTTTAAAAATTATTTTTTGTAGAGAACAGGTCTTGCAATGTTGCCAAGGCTGGTCTTGAACTCCTGGCCTCAAGTGATCCTCTTGCCTCGGACTCCCAAAGAGCTGGGATTAGAGGCATGAACCACCGCATTCAGCCAGAAGCATGTTGTTAATATCCTTAGATTCTCTAGGAGCAATGAAAAGGCCCTTTAACACAGGTAAACAAACAATATCTAATAACCTTCTCATTTAGATTACCAACACAAAAATGGTCTCCAAAAAAGACAAAGCATGTAACACATCATTCGTGTTTCTCAAAACCTTCAGGCAAACCATTAAGAAGAGCTGGCATTTAAGAATTCATCAAGCATGCTGATTTCAGAATGATTTTGTTCTATGAAAAGTTAACCACTGACATTTATATAGAAAGTTAGGTTTCAGGTAACTGTGGGGCAGCTCAGATCTTACATATTGCACAAAAGCTGCTCACTTACTTCCACATCTGTGAATTCAGGTGTTTTTCTACCATGGAGTTTAGTGCGAATCGAAAACGATCCCATCTTCTATCAAATACATAGTACCCTCGTCCCATGAGGCGACTCCCAAATGAGCAAAACTGTGAGGAAAAAAAATTTTTAATTTTGATTACAGGTTAATAAACTAATATAAACTATACAGAGAAAAATAACATTTGCATAAAAGCACACAGGGGCATAATTTTACTCAAAATAAAGCAGCAAATCGTACTGAAGCCAAAAATATTTCTGCAGAGCTGTAGTTCGAGCTCTGAATTTTCTGCAGAACTTCACATTACAACTCAACAATAGCTACATTCAATTTTCTGTGGCACAGAGCGGGCTACGTTCTCTACTCTTGGGATAGCACCACCAGACGCAATGGCTCACGCCTGTCATCCCAGCACTTTGGGAGGCTGAGATGGGAGGATCACTTGAAGTCAGGAGTCCCAGACTAGCCTGGCCAACATGGTGAAACCCCGTCTCTATTAGAAATACAAAAATTAGCCAGGCATGGTGGTACGTGCCTGGGATCTCAGCTCCTAGGGAGGCTGAAGCAGAAGAATCTCTTGAACTTAGGAGGTGGAGGTTGCAGTGAGCTGAGATCGTGTCACTGCACTCCAGCCTGGGTGAAAGACTGAGACTGTGTCTCAAAAAAAAAAAAAAATTAGAGAAGCAATAATCAGCACCCAGGGTGACTTTTCAGGACCATCCGTTTGTCCTATTACCAGCCACATTTTCTCAAGGAACTTGGTGGTTCCCTGCTTCTCATCACAGTAATGGAAACTGCCTGTGCTGGTGTCGCAGGTCCCACCTTTCCTATCTGATGTCAACAGAGCCACTTTGCTTCCAGCCAGGCTGAACGGCTTCCTTTGCCAGTCCTGATCCCATTTCTGCCTCCAATCAGTCTTTGTAGGCTGTACTGGGACACAGCACCACCTTGAAGCTTTTGCTCCTGCTGTTCCTTCTCCCTGCTATCTCCTTTCCTCTTCTTTTTAAAAAAATTTATCATTTATTTATTATTATTATTTTTTGAGATGAAGTTTCACTCTTGTCGCCCAGGCTGGAGCACAATGGTGCGATCTTGGCTCACCGCAACCTCTGCCTCTCAGGTTCAAGAGATTCTCCTGCCTCAGTATCCCAGTAGCTGAGATTGCAGGCAGGCACCACCATGCCTTAATTAATTTTCTTTGTATTTTCAGTAGAGACGGGGTTTCTCCATGTTGGTCAGGCTGGTCTTGAACTCCCACCTCGGTCTCCCAAAGTGCTGGGATTACAGGCGTGAGCCACCGCGCCCAGTCCTCCCCTCTTCTTTTTGTCAATCCCAATTCACCCCTCTCTCCTGGTTCCCTTATCAAGACTCTCATTTCTAGGGCCTCTCATCTAAGTGATCCTCCCCCTGTGAATTCCCGTGGCACACCCATTGCCTACTTTATTACACTTAGCTTTGGACTCATGACATGGCTGTTTTACATTATATACAGGATGCCTACACACCTGACTTGACTGTCAGTTTATAGACAGGGGAGCTCATCCTCTTCCATTTCCTTAGTAGGAGGACTGTAGGCATTTGGGCTAACAAATGGATTGGGGAGACAGGAATCCAGAAAATATTTAAAGCACACTATCCCTCTTAAAATATGTGGATGAAATATTGGCCTTCAGATGTTTAATAAACATTTGATCATAATGTTGGGACAACCGGAAGGCTAGCAGACAGAAATACAAGAAGCAGCCTCTGAGAAGGTGGCATTTGGCTGGTTTAGGGCTCAGGCGAGTCGGCAAATGACTCTATAACTCAAAAGCAGCTCTCCCTGTTCCTCCAGGCCTCCCAGCAGCTCCCTGGCCTCTATCCCAGACACAGGGCTGGATTGGCACTCATTCCACAAACCCGTCCTGGAACCAGCCTTTGGAACCATTCTCAGGAGGAAATGCAAGACCTTCCCTTTGTTCTGTTTCTGTTGGTATTTTGGGGGGTTTTGCGTTAAAATCTTGTCACCCATCTAGTACTGCTGATGAAAAATGCTTCTCTGCATTTTCATGTTAAGTGCTTACTGACCAGCAAGAAAACATACGAAGAGAATTTTCCAACACAGAAACTGGTCCCCGGCAGCACATGGGAGCTGTTCCAGGTCTAGACATCATTTCTTCCCTCATCCCAATTGCTAAAGATGCACCGAGCAAGCATCCATTATAAACAATGATTTAATGTATCAACTGGCCACAAGAGAAAGGACAAAGCAAAGACACACATCCATGGCTTTTCCATTTAAATCAGCAAAACATTCAGGGCACACAGCTGTGCCACATCCCGAGTTTAGCAAATCCACTGTAGCTTGGCAGCTTGTCATTTGGACAAATGTCTTGATGTGCTCCAGAGTCTGGCCTTCTGGAGAGCCTCGTATCTCTTTCAGACTCAGGAGCTGGAGGCACCGTTTTGTCTTTGCTACCTGTGTATCTGATTCTGTACAGACGTGAGGCTCGGTGCTGAGAGGCTCCAGTTCCCAGCTGGCATGTTACGCCTCCAGCAGAGCTGTAGATCCTCACTGCGTGGGCCACCGTGGCAGACCCTACTGGTTGCCAACCTCACCAACTGCCACCCACTCCCACCTCTCTCTGTCTTTTCCTTGCTAACAGAATCGTACTTTTGTTCTTGTATCTGACACAGCAGTATTCAAGTGGGTCTCCTCCCAGAACCTTGGGATGAACCATGGCTGGTTCCTCCTGCATCACTGTAACCCCTTCCTTCTCTGCTGCCAACTGATCTAGGGGTGGGCATGTGATCCATTTCTGTTAGATATAAGGGGAAGTCTGCTGGGGGTTTCATAGGAAGATTTTCTCTCCTAACATAAGGCAGCATCTTGGAAGAAGACCCCTTTTCTGTTTGTCCCTTTCCAACCTGAGAGGCACACCACTGGGTGAGGATGTAATATCGGAGCTGCAGCTGACATACTGGGACCGTGTGTGAAAGGTAGAGGGAGTTGCAGAGATTGTCCCTCAACTACATGACATTGTGGAGAAGCTGAACCAAGCTTGGGAGCACCTGCCTCCAGACTCCCTGCGATGTGAGATAATTAAATGACCTCAGCGCTTGTGCCAGATGAGCTGAGTTTTCTACTTCTGGCAGTCAAAGGCATTCTGAATCGTCCCTGACTATTTTCTGTACTAACCAAGAAGCAAAGTCTCAGGCTTGATGGTGAGCCACAGGTAAGCATTATTCCCAGGAAAGGGAAGTGAACTTGGCCTTCATTCATGACACGGAGAGGAGGGAAGAGGGATTCATTCTATCTTGATATAGGAGCAGGATGGATTTCATTTACAGTCTAGAGACAGTCAGAGCTGATCTTGCAGGACTCAGGCTGGCACCAGAGTAAACCACCATGGGGTCCCATGTTCTAGGCCCCTACATTCGGCTCTGTGATGGCAGCACCAGGTATTCCCTTCTCAAGCGCTCGCAGGCAAGCAATAAACAAGCCTCCAGCGATGCCTCCTGTTTCCCACCTCAGTTTCAATGACCTTCTGAATTGCTAGCATGCACTCATTCAAGGAATTGGAAAGAAAGTACCCTTTTTTATTAATCAGTAATCATGGTGACCTGAAATGCTTCCTCTTTCCTTCAACACACACACACGCTCAGTTCTGGTGCCATCTGGTCACATAACAATAATACTTAGAACCAACAGGGGAGAATATCAGCAAGGGCTGGCTCCTGACATGCTGCTGAGAAAGACGGCTTCCTGAGCAGGTGAACCCAGCTAACCCTGGACATCAGAGGCTCCGTTTTTAGATGGCCAAGGCCAGAGGGTCAGCTCAAGCATGCTCACTTCAAGGCAGCCCATAAATACTCAGGATTATCCTTTTTTCCCCTTTTTTTCTTTTTAGTAGTATGTGGAAGTACTCAGGATTATAATCAGCTGGGAGCCTGTTCCTTTCCTTTTGTAATATTCAAGGGTATTTCTAAGGCAATCATTCAAATTCACGATAAGCCTTTTTGTAAAACACTGCACAAACAGCCTTGCCTCAGGAAGGATCATGCCTCTGGTATGATCACCTAAGTGTCTGCAAAGCACAGGCGAGGAACGCACGGCAAGGAACAGAAGGAGGCCTACCGCAAGAGGTCTGGGGTGGTGTGTGGAGAACTGACAGTCTAGCTTCTCGGGTTCGTCGGCTCCGTCCATCTCCCCTTCATCACTGGACAGTCGGCTGGCGAGGTCAACTCCAACCGGTGGCAGTGGGGGCTCTGGAGTGTGGCCGCTATGATTTGAAGACGCGCTGCTGCTTATGCTATTTGCAGATGATGGTCTAAGGGCAAGAGGGGAGGACAAACAAAATAAACCAAATAAACCTTTTCTGAGGTAACAAGATCCACCCAGTTTAATGGTGTTCAGAAAGCCTGATTAAGGCCGGGTGCAGTGGCTCACGCCTATAATCCCAGCACTTTGGGAGGCCGAGGCAGGCCGATCACAAGGTCAGGAGATCAAGACCATCCTGGCCACCATGGTGAAACTCCATCTCTACTAAAATACAAAAAATTAGCCAGGCGTGGTGGCGCATGCCTGTAGTCCCAGCGACTCAGGAGGCTGAGGCAGGGGAATCACTTGAATCCAGGAGGTGGAGGTTGCAGTGAGCTGAGATTGCACCACTGCACTCCAGTCTGGTGACAGAGCAAGACTCCATCTCAAAAAACAAACAAACAACAAACGAACAAAGAAACCAGCTTGATTAGCCTTGCCAATACCTCAGGGTGGGCACATCAGTGGTGACTTTGCACAAGGTAAAACAATCAAGTCTGAAGGGTTTGCAGTGACCATCTCTCTCCAGGGACCTAGTTAAGTTAGGTTCTGCCCCACTTGCTTTCTCTGGGGCAGATGACAGGAATGATGGAAAAGCCCAACAGCATAAGTGGAACGTCAAACATGGGAACGTGACAAAGTGAAATGAACCGGAACAAGTCTTCTATGGATTCAGTTACAACTATTCACCCATTTGCAGGTAAGTAAGCTGCACTTGCCATACAATTGCTTTTCTTTCTTTCTTTCTTTCTTTTTTTTGAGACAGAGTCTCGCTCCATCGCTGGGAGCCAGGCTGGAATGCAATGGCGAGACCTCAGCTCACTGCAACCTCCGCCTCCCGGGTTCAAGCAATTCTCCTGCCTCAGCCTCCTGAGTAGCTGGAACTACAAGCGCGTGCCACCACGCCCAGCTAATTTTTTGTATTTTAGTAGAGACGGGGTTTCACCATGTTGACCAGGATGGTCTCGATCTCTTGACCTCGTGATCCGCCCTCCTCGGCCTCCCAAAGTGCTGGGATTACAGGTGTGAGCCACCGCGCCTGGCCACAATTGCTTTTCTTTGAAAGTGGAACCTGGCAGGAAGATCAACCAGGTAAACAAGATCAGAGCAATCACCAAAATACCAGTAATGAAGAAACACAGTCCTTTGGATACGTTCTTTGACATAAAGCTATGACTTTAGGAAACTGTTATCATACCGGCCTGTCACTTAATGTTGAGCTGTGTGTAGTTTAAATGTATTTTCTGAGAATGAGCGTTTTAATTAATTAATTAATTAATTAATTATTTTGAAACAGTCTCGCTGTGTCCGCCAGGCTGGAGTGCAGTGGTGCCATCTCAGCTCACTGCAAACTCTGCCTCCCAGGTTCAAGCGATTCCAGGCACCTGCCACCATGCCTGGCTAATTTTTGTATTTTCAGTGGAGAAAGGCTTTCACCATGTTGGCCAGGCTGGTCTTAAACTCCTGACCTCAGGTGATCCGCCCACCTTGGCCTCCCAAAGTGCTGGGATTACAGGCGTGACCCACTGCATCCGGCTTCAATTTACTTTTTGACAAGCCCTTTTATGCACTGTGGGGCAGGATTGGCTTATAGTAGGTGCTAAAGAGAGATTTTTCTCAATGAATGAAAGGAATGAATGAATTCTATGTGGGTATAAAACAACCCAACAGATGTCATCTTAACTATGGTTAAGTTTATAAAAAGCAATGTCACAATAAGAGGCAGTAACTACCTGCTTCCTAGGCAGTAAAAAAACAAAACAACACAAGAAAAAACCAAAATCAAACACATCCACATTAGCAGAAGAGTTAGATGAGGAATAGTCACAGTTAACTGCTACTAGTTTTTACTACTTCTCCACTTTCATCAGGTGATTGAGCAGGGAGAGGTGAAAAAGTCAGGGAGAAAAAGAAGTTTTGGAGGAAAAAAAATGTTTTTCTGCTTTCTGCTTTGAAAGCTGCTCCTTCAAGTCTCATGAAACAGCAATGCTGATCTGTCTCCCTTCTCTCTTATTTTTACCCTGGATTCTCTGTTGCTTCGAAATTTTTTCAGGTCTCAAATACTTGAACTTAAACCAGTATACCACTTAAAAACAAAACCACAAAGGTGAAAACAACCCAAGTGTCCATGAGCTGATGACAGGATAAACAAAATACGGTATATCCATCCAATGGAATATTATGCAAGCCTTAACAAGACATGAAATTCTGCTACGATATGAATGACACTTGAAAGCATCACACTAAATAAAATAAGCCAGACATGAAGGACAAATATTGGATGGTTCCATTAATAGGAGATACCGAGACAGAAAGTAGAAAAGAGTTATCAGGAGTTGGAAGGAGAGGGAATAGGGAAAGGGTGTTTAGTGGGTATACAGCTTCAATTGGAGATGAAGAGAAAGTTCTGGAGATGGATGACAGTATGAGTACACAACACTGTGAATGTGCTTAATGCCACTAAACTAGACACTTAAAAATGGTAGAGTTTGTGTTACGTATATTTTACTAGGAAAACAAAACAAGGCCATAGGTAGTTTTTCAGTGTCATGACAAGAATTCTGTTGGGATGACAATTTATTTTGGACTATCACCTTCCTGTATTATAAAAACAAAGATGCCATTCATTCTGCGTGTCCACAGGCCAAAGGACACATCTCCCCAGACGTTCCTCAATACCTGCTCTTCTGTGTCAGGAGGGGCAACAACGCTATTGTCTGCTTACCAATGAAGACCCAAATAATAAAATCATTTAGATAAGGCTGAAACATAAAAACAAACAAACAAACCAGTATCCATAACTCTGCCACCCAAGATCAAGTGTTATTAGCATTTTGATTTCTATCCTTCCAGACTTTGTTACTGTGCACACACATCAAATGCATTTTAAAGCAAGAACTGGATCACACGATCACACTGAACATGAAATGTGAACAGTACCTACTATTTTGAGATATCCTTTTTTAAAAACCTAGTGATGTTGTAGAAGTGTTTCCATGTATAGAACTACATCACTTTTAGTATTCCCCAGTAATCCATAGTATGAATATGTCATAATTTACTTAATGAATCTTCTATTGATGAACATTTGTTTCCAAACTTTCTAACAGGCTCTCTCTCTGTGAAGCCCTCTCCATCATGATAGGACCTCCTTGTCCTGCATGAAATAGGTAAAAAGGAGCTGGATTTTATTGTGATAATAGCATCATGGTTATGTAGGGAATTGCTTCTTTTTATGTACTTATTTTTATTTTTTAGAGACAAGATCTCGCTCTGTCACCCAGGCTGGAGTGTAATGGCATGATCATGGCTCAGTGCAGCTACAAACATCAGGGCTCAGGGCATCCACCCACCTCAGCCTTGTGAGTAGCAGGGCCTATAAGCACGTGGCACAACAACAGGCTAATTTTAAAGTATTTTGTAGAGACAGGGTCTTGCTTACATTGCTCAGACTGGTCTCAAACTCCTGGCCTCAAATGATCATCTTGTCTCAGCCTCTCAAAGTGTTGGGATTGCAGGTGTGATCCACTGTGCTATGCCTGTCTTTACCTTTATTTATTTATTTTTCTTTTTTTGAGACAGACTCTTGCTCTGTCGTCCAGGCTAGAGTGCAGTGGCATGATCTCGGCTCACTGCAACCTCCACCTCCTGAGTTCAAGAGATTCTCCTGTCTCAGTCTCCTGAGTAGCTGGAACTATAGGTGTGTGCCACCATGCCCGGCTAATTTTTGTATTTTTAGTAGACATGTGGTTTCACCATGTTGGCCAGGCTGGTCTCGAACTCCTGACCTCAGGTGATTCACCTGCCTCAGCCTTCCAAAGTGGTGGAACTATAGGTGTGAGCCACCATACCCTGTCTTTACTTTTTAAAGATGCATTTGGAAGGCTTTTGAGGTGAAATGCCATGGTACTTGCAATTTGTGTTAAAATATGTCATCAAAAAATGTAGATGAAGCAAATATAATCACAAAATATCAATATAGTATCTGTTAAAGCTAGACGTGGGTTTTATACTAGTCTCTCTTCTACACATGGGAAAAATTTTATAATGAAAGTAGAAAAAATAAAAACAAGAAGAAAATAGAGTTGGTACTGTAGGTATATATAAGAAAGTTACTGAAGAACTTCCTATATTTTGGCATTTTATTTTCCTTCAGCTTTATTGAGGTATAACATCTTATACTTATAATACATAAATAAAATTGTATATATTTTAGGTATATAATGTGATTTGATAATATGTATACATTGTAAAATGATTACCACAATCAAGTTAGCTAACATATGTCTCCTCACAGTTACCATTTTTTTGTTTTTCCATGGTGAGAACACTTTTTTTATTTTTTAGAGACACGGTGTCTCTCTGTCTCCCAAGCTGGAGTGCAGTGGAGCAATCACTCACTGTACTCACAGGAACTTCTGTGCTCAAGGGATCTTCCAACCTCAGCCTCCCAAATAGCTGGGACTACAGGCGTGAGCCACTGAGCCCAGTGAAATACGCTTAAGATCTACTTACTTAGCAAATTTCAAGTACACAGTACAGTATTATTAACTAGAGTCACCACGCTAGAGATTAGATCCCCAGAGTATATGCATCTTGTAACTGAAAGTTGTCTAATATCTCCCATTGTTCCCAACCCTTAGCCCCAAACAAATGGCATTCTACTCTCTCTTTCTGTGAATTTGGCTTTTTTAGTTTCCACCTGTAAGTGAAATCATACACTAGTTGTCATTCTCTGTCTAATTTATTTCATTTAGCCTAATGCCATCAAGTTCATCCATGTTGTTGAAAATGGCAGGATTTCTTTTTTACTGTTAAATAATATCTCTTTTTATATATATACATATATATATATACATATACATACACATATATATGTGCATATATACACATACATACATACACATATATACATATATGCACATATATAGATTATATAAAAAGATATTTATATATGTATGTATACACACATATATAGAAACAAGTATTAATATTATTGTTGTTATTTAT